TGTGAGGCCATTAGTCTTAAAAACACACTTATTAGCATGACTGTTGGCTAAAACCGGTGGAGTCATATTCCTGTAGATTATATCTGGAGAAAAGATATTGAAATACATAAATGATTTGGGAGATAATGGGTATTGCTATACATAATTCATTGGAAAAAGTTTGCCTATGTCTTAAACTTAAACCATCATTTCCAAAAATATGTGTGTTCCTCAAACCTATTAATTTGAATGTATAATCCATATTTTCTTCTTAAACTTGTGAAATGCTTAAAAAACAGTTGTCATAACAGTTAATTTTTACCTCTTATCTTTAACACTAGATTTTTGGGTATCCCCCAAAATCTCTCCTAAATATTTTTTAATTATCTAAATAATAGAATGAAAATTGAAATAAATTAATCATCTTGACTTTTTCAAATAGCCACCTTTGTTGTTTTTAAAACATGAGGTGACAGACTGTGAACATGTTTCTCCATACGAAATTCTTCAGTGAGTTCAGCCCGTCAGTCATATATAGCTGTTTTGCCTGAAAATGGCCCTCGTGATAAATTTTTGCATACTTTTGGCATCAAATTTCAGCATTACAGAAACACAATCAAAGTTAACACTTATATTAGCCCATTTTTAGTGTTTGAAATAAGTGAACAGCAAAGTTAAAAAGAACAGAGAAGGAAGATTAAGAGTAAGATAAGTCGTAATAAAGAAGAAAGAATAAGATTTAGATTATTGCCTTGAAATCATATGGTCAGATGTTAGACTGCTTCTTAAAAACTATTTTTACTCTTAATATAACCTGCAAAGCCACACAGAAAACCCTGTTTAGACGTGACCATCAATCTGAACTTTCTAGTTATCACTTCTTTGCCTTTTTTTTGTATTTTTACCATTATTATATATATCCCTAATGATATAGATTAGTTTTGCTTATGTTTTTAAGTTCTGTATATGCGGAATCATGCTGTATGAATTTTTGCTTTTTGCCCAACATTAAGTTACTAGATTCATCCATGTTATTGTGTGTACTATAGTCTGTTCCCTTCTAGTGCTGTGCAGTATTTCATTGTGTGAATATATCACAGTTTATTCAACCCATTGTTAACAGGCTATTTTCAGTTTAAAATATTTAAAATAAATATTTCTGTGAACATTCTGGGGCACTCATCCTGGTACATTAAACATATGTATCTCTAGGTATATCCCACCTAGGCGGGAAGTTTCTGGGTCATAGGATAATATGTATTTATTCAATTTTAACAAAGAATACCTCCCTGTTTTCCACAGTGATATATCAATTTATACTCCCACCAGTGGTGGGAGTTTCTGTGGCTCCATATCCTCACCAACACTTGGAACTCTCAGACTTGAAATTTTTCCCCAATCTGATATGCATGTATAGGTATCACATATCCCATGATAGTTTTAATTTGCCTTTTTCTTATCACCAGTGATATTGAATACCTTATGAAATGTTGATTGACTATTGGATATCTGTTTTTTAAATGCCAGTTGAAGTCTCTGGCCATTTTTCTGTTGAGTTGTCTATATTTTTCCTATTGGTTTGTAAACATATTTTATATATCCTGAACAAGAGCCTTTTCTTGGTTACATGTCTTAGAAATATCCTGTAGGGCTTGCCTTTTCTCTATCTTAATGATAACTTTTTTTCAATTTCCATGTTACTTTTTGTTTTTTGTGAACATATTTTTCCAATAGGCTACTGACTGGAATGTTCCATCTAGAATATAAAACATTCACTCTGCCCCATTTCTCAAGCATTCATTTTGTCCTCACGTACATTATTTTATTCTAGTAAAAATACACATAACTCGAGATCAGTCCTCTTAACAAATTTTTAAGTGAACAGTAAATGTTGGGTGTTGAATAAGCATAATGTTGTACAGCCGATCTCTAGAACTTTTTCATCTTACGTGACTAAAACTTTCTATCCGTTGAACAGCAATCCCCATTTCCCTTTACTTTTGACAACCACCATTCTACTCTTGATGAGTTTGACTACATAGGATACCTCATATAAGTGTAATCACGCGGTATTTATCTTGTGTGACTGGATTATTTCACTTAGCATGATGTCCTGGAGGTTCATCCACATCCAGCTTTATTGAGATATTATTGACATATATGTAAGTTTAAGGCGTACAATGTGATGATTTGATACACGTATATATTGTGTACATGTTAGTTAATACCTTCGGGTTAGTTAATAATAAGGTTAGTTAACACCTTCATCTATTTACATAATTCTCTTTTCTTATGGTGACAACATTTAAGATCTACTCTCTTAACAAATCTCAAGTATACAATACAATACTGTTAACTATAGTCACCACGCTGTGCACGAGATCCCCAAAACTTATTCATCTTATAGCTGGAAGTTTATATCCTTAGATCAGCATCTCCCCATTTCTCCGCCCACACCCTAGCCGCTGGCAACTACCATTCTACTCTCTATTTCTATGAGTTCAGCTTTTTCAGATTACGTGTGTAAGAGAGAACATACAGTATTTGTCTTGCTCTGTCTGACGTATTTCACTTGACATAATGCCCTCAAGGTCCATCCTTGTTGTTGCACAAAGCAGGATTTCTTTATTATTTTGTGGCTGAACAGTATTCCATCATGTATATGTGTGTGTGTGTGTGTATGTGTGTGTGTGTGTCACACATTTTCTTTATCCTTTCATCCATCGATGAACACTTAGGTTGTTCCCATGTATTGGCAATTGTCAATAATGCTACAATGAGCATGGGAGTACATAGATCTCTTCAAGATACTGATTTCATTTCCTTCAGATATATACCCAGGAGTGGGATTGCTGGATCATACGGCATTTAAATTTTTCGAGGACCCTCCATGCTGTTTTCCTTAGTAGCTATACTAATTTACATTCCCATCAACAGTACAAAAGTGTTTCCTTTTCTCCACATCCTCACCAACACTTGTTATTTTCTGCTTTTTTGATGATGGCTGTTCTAACACGTGTGAGGTGATAGCTCATTGTGGTTTGATTTGCATTTCCCTGATGATTAGGGATGTTGAGCATCTTTTCATGTATCTGTTGGCCATTTGTATTTCTTCTTTGGAAAAATGTCTGTTCAAGTCCCTTGCTCATTTTTTAATCAGACTATTTGTATTTTTCTATTGATTTGTATGAGTTCCTTATATATTTTGGATATATATCACTTCTCAGATGGATGGTTTGCAAATATTTTCTCCCATTCTGTAGGTTGCCTTTTTGTTTGGCTGATTGTGTCTTTTGCTGTGCAGAAGCTTGCTAGTTTCATGTAGTCTCACTTGCTTATTTTAGCTTTTGTTCCTGAGCTTTTGGTGTCATATCCAAAAAATTGTTATCAAGACCAGTGTCAAGGAGCTTTTTCCCAATGTTTTCTTCTAAGAAACATGTCTTTCCCTACGTTTTACAGTTCAGGGTCTTACATTTAAATCTTTAATCCATTTTGAGCAGTATATAAGCAATGCTTGTATCTTTGACTGCTTGCTCGTCATTACCCTCAAAAAGTATTTTAAGGATTCTCTGAGGCCTTAGGATAGCTATTTTTCCCTTCGAAAAGGATTTGCATTTGTATTTGCATTTGCCTGGTACCTAGGGTGCTTCATAGTTCCGGACCACCTCAGACTAAGTTCAAGCCTTGAGAGTCCCTGGCCTAACTAGGCTTTGCCTGCTCAGGGCACAAATCTGAGAGGATTCTTCTGGACCCTCCCAGGGAAGGGACTCTGGGAGCCAGAACTTCCCAGAGAAGTCTGCATTTTTTCCTCTCATTTTCTTCTCCATTCCAAAGGTACCAAGGCAACTCACTCAGCAGTTCCCAATGGTTAGGGAGGTAGGAGAGGAAAATCTGAATCTTGTCCATCCATACCTGAGGTTGTAGCCCCTGGGCCTCCAGCTCAGAGGAAGAGCTCTCCTGCAAAATTTCCCACCCTCAGCAGGCTGTGGGCCTTGACTTCCCTTAGGACATGATACAGACATGGGAGCAGAGCTCAAATGGCTGTGGCATCAGTAAATGCCTTCTAGATAAAGATAGCCTTTGTACTTCTATGTCGTGCTTACCTCCCAGTTATAGGATCTTATCCAAAAACTGGCCATGGAGGGCTCACTAACTTTTCAGATCTTGAATATTTTTAAATTGCTATATACACACACACACACATATTCATACATATACATATATATTTTGCCCAGCATATTTTATTGTTTTCACTGTGAGGGTTAATCCGAGTTCCCCAGTTTACCATACCAGAAACAAGACTTAGCATTTTTAAAACGTCTTTAATCAAGATGGTTAGTGAAGCAAATAATTTTCCAGTTCAATTGGGTTTTGTTTGTTTACGAGTTTATTTGTAGGTTGATTGGTAGGCATTTTTTCCTGTGCCATGATTCTTCTTTGTTTGTGGTACCCCTACTGATACAACACTTCTTCCTCCCCACACTGTCCTTTACTAAGCTAACTCTTCCTCATCCTTCAAGATGGTCCAGGAGTCCTCTCGGGAAGTCTTATCCCATTCCATTCCTAAATAATCAGTTTGCGTCCTCAGGCACTTTATAACAGTGAAGATACATGAACAACATGAGTATTGCAGGGGTACTAGTCAATATGACTAGACACACAGGCCAGTAAGAACAGGCGCCAGCTGTAAACAACCAGTCCCTGTGTGTACTGAGTCAATATCAGCTATGCTCAAAGCATGTACCACAAGAAGATGTGATAAAATGTGCACACTTTCATAGTACACTGTTCTGTAATTTGCTATTTACATATTTCCTCTGGTAATCTGTGAGATCGTTATGGACATGGAGTAATCAAACACACCCTGGAATATTATGTTGCATGGATTCTTGGTGCAAAGAAGACCCCAATAAATATTTTTTGAAGTTAAAGAAAATCTATTGAGGGAACTGCCTCAAAAATTTATTAAATAAGTCACTTCCTATTCCTTCACAGCTTTAACCACTGGAAGTTCATGAACAATGAATTCACTCCACTCATCCTGTTGGAACACCTCTGCTGAACTTTTGAACAAGTCCTGGAATAAAGAGTTTGCTTATCAAGCCCTCAGCGTTGTGGATACAGTCATCCTCCCTTCCATGATTGGGATTATCTGTTCCACGGGGCTGGTTGGCAACATCCTCATTGTATTCACTATAATAAGGTAAGGGCTTCTTATTCTTTTCCATAATTTAGGGACACCCTATGTTTCCTAAGTGAATCCTTTCCCTCCGGTAGGATTTTTATTGATTAAATCAGGTTTTGGAAATATTTGCTTAAGATAATTAAAGGAAATTCTACAATATTTTCATCATTTACAGGTCTCAAAATGAAAAGACCTCGACCAATGCTTACTGCTGGGTTAGTGAATTTTTAGAACAGTGATTCTCAACCTTGGGCATATATTAGAATCACTTGGGGAGCTTTTAAAACTCCTAATACACGGTTTCACCCCAGACCAATCAACTCAGCATCTCTGGAGGTAGAGCCCAGGCAGGATTGAAACTACAATACAACCATCTTATTTTCCGGCAATAAGAGACATCCTAAGAAGTTGACCTGGTTTGGCTGGTGAAAGAGACTTTTTTTTACTCACTTGGGCAAGAGAGAGAGATTACTTGATCACCCAAAGATTCAGGGTGTCGTAAATGATGGGCTGTTCCCTTTGATACAAACCACCCCCATGTAGGCCAAACCGAGGGACAGCTGCTCCCTAGTACCTCCTGCCTTTGCTTCACCTCTGTCACCTCATTCAGGTAATTTTCTCCTTCTTCTCCAACCTAGAGCATAAGCTTTAACCTGGAGAATAAGAACGGACTGCTTGTTTTCTATGGGGTTGACAAAATGGATACAGAGTTAGGGTACATGTGCCCCATCATTACTTTGTGTCTTTGCTATCCTAATTTATTTTTACATTTAAGTTTTACTTGTTTTAATCAATGAAAGAGGTTAAACTTTTCTGTCCTGGTCCCTGAGCATACTTATAACCACCATTTAAAAGAATTTTTGTTCATATTTATATATTATAAAACACATTCTAGAGTACAACCTAATAGGTGTTTTCAATCTTATATTAACATATAGCTACTACAAACTTTTGTGTAGCGTATTACACTTAAAAGCACTGTTGTAAACTCACTTAATCCTCAAAACAACAATACTGTCATTATCATACCCATTTGAGGAAAGAGGCTCAGGAGAGAAAATAACTTGCCCAGCATCCCACAGCTAGTAAGTGACAGTCCTGGCACTTGACTCAGATCCCATGATTCCAAATTTCAGGCTACTTCTTCCACATTAATGAGAACAAAGAAATCATCAAAACTAGAAAGATGGTTGGATTTGCCATGTGGATGGAAGAATCCTCCTAGGATCAGTTAAGAGCAAGAGCAGCCCTTAGGATGGAGATGGGGATGACACTCACCATCCCTGAGAAAGCTCATAAGTGGTCGCTTTCTCTAGGTGGTTTCTCATCAGCCAGCCCATTTTCAAATTTTTATTATCATTATCTCTGAAGTTAATGGTAGCATATCAACGGTATTTTTTTACACCGTCCATAATTGAAGACTTATTTGATACATTGGAATTCTACTCTTAATGAATTCAGGCATTTTTTATTGAGTCCCATAAAGCCATTTGTGAATATCAAGCATTTTAAATTAATTTTTTTTAAGTGCTGGAAGTAGTTCAACTCAATATATATTACTAAATACCTATTCCATGCCCAGCGGTGTCCTAAGAGTTATGTAAAAGCCAAAGAAATATGGTAGCATCTGACTCTAAAAAGTTCGTAGTCTAGTGGAGAAGTTAAGATTTAAACACATGAAATAATATGAAAAATAATACATTAAAAACTGTCAAGTGAAAAAAGAAGAAAGATGGTTCAAATAATAAGTTCCAGGAAGGGAAATGGAAGTAATTAAATATCCTCAGGGAGCCTCAAGGAGGCAATACTGCCAAGTCAAAAGTTAATAAAAGCATAGGAATGTTTCTAGCTCACTCTTGTTTGCTGATTGCAACTGACCATTTCTTCCATCTTGCCTCATGCCCCTCAGTATTTTGCTGTCCTTTCCTGAAGATATGTATAGTGTATCTCACACACACAGAGCCTTGGTTCCAATGTTGAGAAATAGAGTCCTTATAAAGTGCTAGCCCTTCAGAAATGGTTGCATTTTTACAGACAACTTTTAAATGCAAAGACTCTTCAGTGTTGGATTTCAGGCCCTGTGACAAGCTGTTTAAGAGATATTTGGGGCCAGAGAAACTTCTTCATTCCCCTCAAATTACACCAATAAACCATGTCCTGACCCATCTACTTATATGGAGACAAAGCTGGAAAAAAGAAGAAATGTGGAATATGAACTCTTCCAAAAGTCAATACTGAGCTATAATTTGTGGAAACAGATTCTGAACATAAAGCAAATAATCATTTAACTGGAAAAAAAGAAAAGCTGAGCCATCATGTTGAGCAATTTATGTGCAATAACTGTGAAAAATCTGTCATTTCTTTATATCATTACCATTTTATAGATAACATGTGAGCAGATATATGTTAATGGAGCTTTTAAGATGAATCTTTTCGTCTTTCAAAAAACATTTGGAAGCAACTTAATTTTAATTTTTATCGCTAGGACTTTAATATTTTTCTCTGTAAATGGCTCTCTAAAAATTTATTAATCTTTCAAAAGTTATTTGAAAGCAAAATTAATTTTAATTCTTTTGCCTTGGAATTTATCTAACACTTTTTTTTAAATTGCCCTCCAAAAATTTTAATGCAATTTATGTTAATATATTCATCATGACTTGTCATGATCTTTTGTTTGTTACCTTCTTAACAGACAGGTGGCTCAATTAAAATATTAAGACTACACTAAAAATAAGAAGAAATGGATGCATTTAAAGAAGATTTAGTAACTTTCCCATTTGTGATAAATATTTGTATCAGAAGAGAATGAATAGAACTAAAAGTCAGTAGGATCATTAATGATGCCGGGAAGCTAGCAAAGAACTAAATTCTAACTTTGCCAAAAGAAGCCTAGAAACATGTATGAAAAAATAGATTTAAGGAAGATAGAGCTTCCAGAATAAGATATTCTATGTGGCTTTTTTAGAAAGTGAGAAGCAATTTGTGCATTAAGAGGGTGACTATAAAGTGTAAGGCCAGATCATTACTAGTCTGTCATGCTTTAAATTTATAGCAGGTCAAAAGGAAGCCAGATTAGAAAATGTGGGAGGAAAATTGGGCAAATTATAACATCACATTTTTCCCCTCTCCTCTTTGGAGTGAGACTAATGAACTCAACCCCGTTACTCAACTATTCTCCACAGCCACAGTGGGCCCTGGGAAACTTCTTCAATAAAGGAAACAACATTTTTCCCCATCAGCCCCCTCCTCTTCCTCCTGGACACATCTTTCTCCTGTCTACTGACAGACAGCTTTGAGTGGGCAGGGACTCTCTTAAGGGATGCCCTGTCTCCCAATAAATAAAAAGTTCATTTCTGTCATTCCCTGCCCTCAACTCCCTGTCATGTCAACTAATTCACACTAAGTCATAAATTACTGAAACATCTTACTTTTTAACTCTCCCAATGGTGTCTACATTTTTATAGAGATCGCAAGAGGGACAGTGTGTTAACCTAAAGGAACACTAATGATCTAAGGGTGGAATACCAGCTTCTAAGACAGACAGGGAGGAAAAATGCTTATAACAAAGACTCCTCCTTTTTCCCACCCAGCTTAAATCATAACAAGTGGCTCCCTCTGACGTAGCCCTTTATCATTCCCAGAGTGTCAGTCACATGTAAGCTCTTGCTGAGGTTGACCCATATCCTTTCTGTACACATAACCTGCATTTTAGAAGCTGCTGAACCTTGCAGCCACATCTATTCAAATGAACTGGAAAGTTGGTGAGAAACACTCATTGCTATGGTCCAATGCACCAAGACAACTCTGGAATCTAAAGGGGTTGAATATCTAGCCCAAGGACACATGACGGCATAGAAATAAAATGGAATTCCCAGTTAGGTTCTCTTTCCCCTTTATAACACTATGTATCTAAAGCAGCATTGGCAAATATGTCACTCTACTCTAACTCTCCTATCCTTGGCAGTCATCTCTAATCACACAGGTCTGTCCTTTTGTAGTACCTGTGTGAGGACTCAGAATTCTTCTCAACACACTGCTTCATGAAATCACTATTAATCCATTAGGGTTGGCTGGCAATAGGAATTTAATTCAACTAGAGTTAAATGCCAAACAGAAACTGGTGAGACAACCCAGAAAAAAACAAAAGCAGGAAGCTACTACAGCATCCTACCACCATGCCCCACCCCAACACCACCACCCTTGTCCTGGCCCTGAGCTGGATGGAGAAAAGGAGGTGGTTTTACAACCCCAAGAGATTGGGCTGCCTGCTGGAAGCTATAGCCACAGAGGGATCGGGGAACATGGAATGCTCCCCTTCCTGCAAGAGGAAGGTAGAGCCATGGAAGGGATATGGCCACTGCCAATAGCAGAGATGGGAAGGAAATACCCTGGCCTCTCCTCTCCTCCTTTCCTCCAATTTCCCTCTAATAGTGCTTCCTATGGACCAAAACTAAGCAAAAGCCAGTTGGCAAGGAGACCTAGGAACAAAGCTGGTGAAGGGTATGAAATGGATTTGAGAGTGAGCTGATCAGCAAAGCAGACTCCTGAATGTGTGGTTATATGTTTTGTTAGTTTTATTTAATCTATAGCATATATTGTTATTTCCAATTGCATAAAGTAAACATGTTTTTAACAGAATTTTTTTAAACATAAAAAATAAAGAATAAAGTAAAAATCAGTCATACCACTATTACCAAATAGGTAATCTTTGTGATCACTTAACATATTATTCCAGCATTTTTTTTAATTTATTTTTTTATTGCAGTTCCAGCATATTTTTAAACAAACCTTTAAATAAAGTTGAGGTCATGCCACATACATCGTTGGGACTTTTTTACTTAAGAATTTTTCCCATTTTATTAAATATTCTTGCAAACTGTGATTTGTAACAACTATATCATTTATTGTATGGTATTGTAGAATACCATATTTATTTTATCATTCTTCAAATTAGTGAGCATTTGATTTGGCTATGTTAACCATATGGAAAACATGTTAGCTGAAATGACCACTAATCTACATTTTTTATTTTAGTTGTTTGAGTTATGAGAGACAGAAATCTAATGAAGTCTGGCAACAGGAAATCTGGAGATAAATTAGACCTAATAAAAGAATGGAGGTTGTATAGTTAGCAATTTTACAATTTCTGTTTAATTATTTTTAATTTCTATGCTGTCACTTTCAGTAAAGAAAACAATAATAAAAATTGTGTTATTTTTATTGCCCGAGTACCTTATGCCCAGATAAATACATCATTGGCTTCAGAATCTCTTTTGCTATACCAAATATCGTCTAGAAACTTCTATTTAATTATTTTTAATTGCCAGTTAATGGCCTGCACTGTCCTCAACAATGGAATTACCATAATTCATTATCGGTAAATGATGGGTGCCTGTCAGGGCCATGAATCTAATGGCTTCAATTAGGACCTAAGCAACCACTTATGGTTTATATTCCAATTCAAATGGAAATAACATCTATTTATAGGCTAAGATTTATGGGGGTTTTTTGTTGTGTTTTTGCTTTTGTTTTTGTTTTTTTAGTGTGGAACTCCTTCTTTCTGATCTCTAGTGGCTGTTCTTCAACCTTGTCCCCTCTCCATCTCCCACTCTCAATGGCCTGGAGAGAACAGAGGATGAGAGACCAAGGAGTCACTTGGTGGCTCTTTTGGTTGACATGATCTTTTCCTCAATTATCTTCTCCTCTTGGTCTTTTCTGAGATGAGTCACCAACCTTCTGGGGACAAGGAACCAACTTGCTTTATCAGTGGCATCAACAATGCCCGCAGTGTGGTGGCTATGTAAGGATTAGTGGGGGATCAGAATTGGCCACCTCAAAATATATGTCTTTGGCTCAATTATTTTTAAGAACGAAAGACTTAAAGAAACTTTGACCTTCCCCCTAACTTTCTAAAAGAATTTAAGGTAAAAGGCCCATCCCCAGGACAGGCCATCACCATAGATAACTCTGGGTATTGGTAAACTGTGAGGGTCCTTGCTAAGCCCATCCTTATCAAAGTTCTGTCTACTAAACCTTTGCTTTTCCATTTCCATGTGAATTGACTTCCTCCCCTTTGAAGCCCCAAACCACTACCCTCAACATCCTCCTTTGTCTTTAGCTGAAGATGGTATTTAAGATGAGAGCCTCTGCCATTTTGGTGAGTCACTCAGTTTTCCTGAGTGTCTCTCATGTTTACATGTTATAAAGTTTCGTTTGATTTTCTCCTATTATTCTGTGTCATGTCAATTTAATTTGTAGCCCAGCCAGATGGACCTAGAGTGGGTAGAGGAAATTGTCTTCCTCCCCTACAGATTCAATGGCAGTAACTTCCCCACAGGGTGTGTGTTGCCAGGGCCTAGCTAAAATATCCTTGCCCAGACTGATGTCTCACACAAGAATTTGATAGCTTAGATATAAAGTTCACAGGCTGTAGAATTTGAAGCCCATGTGTTATAAAGACACACACTAGCTTCCAAACCACTGAGCAATAGCCCTGGATCGAGAGTGAACTAGCAATTGTGGCATAATCTTATGGCTAATTCTTGTGTGCTCTTTAAATTCTATTCGTCCTCAGTTCAGATGCCACTTCTGCCAAGAAATCTGCCTTGACTGTCCCCACGGGAGAGGGTAGAGGCCCCTTTTATGTGTTCCTTGTGCTTGCTTTAGTTTTCTCTCATCACGTTATAATGTGCTTGTTTATTTATACATGTCTCCTTGATGTTAGGGTTTTGGGGTTGTTTAGTACTGTGGCACCAGAACACAATATTATGCCTGACGTGTAATTGGTGCTCAATAAAATGTTTGTTGAATTAATGAATACCGTCTCCCAGTAAAGATGATTCCTGTTTATTATTGAATGTCCCAACTCCTTGAAGATAGGGCACCAACTGAATTTTAAATTTAAGTTTCTGCTCTCAGAAAATTCTTTTGCCTACAAAGGAGAGTGCCACATCTAGATAGTATCTAATTCACTTCCCCTGGCAGGGCCAAGAGATCCTTCCCAATGCCCTCTCCCAGTTTACTCATCTCAGATTTCTTCTTCACGCTGTCTGGGGTTCAGGATCTTAATTAATAGTCTTTGCTGTTGGGTTAGATTTTATTGGAATATTTCAAAGTAATGGTTGAAATTTTTTAAACAATGGCCTCAGTTAGGATTTGAACTTACAGCTTTGGTAGGGAAAAATGCATTGCACAATGAAAACCATTTATTTTCCCTGTTCAGCTGTTTTTTACGCTAGGGATAAGTAAAGACTAAGCCTTTTGCCTGAGTGAGCTTAGAGTTGGTGTAATTTGTTGCTATGTAGAAATTACCCCAAAACTTAGGGGCTTAAAACAACAATCATTTATTACCTTACATAGTTTTGAGGGTCAAGAATCCAGGAGCAGCTTAGCTGGTTGGTTCTGGCTCAGGGTATCTCACAAAGTTTCAGTCAAGCTATCTGCCTTTAGATGACTATCTAAAGGTTTGGCTGGGGCTGGAGCATCTACTGAAAGGTAGCTCACTCACATACCTGGCATGTTGTTGTGTTCCTCTCCAGATGGCTCTCTCCATAGTGTTGCTTGAGCATCCTCACAAGATGGCAGCTGGCTCCCCCCAGACAAAGTGATCTGAGAGAGAGGAGAAAACGCCACCATGCCATTACATCTGAATTTCGAATATCACACTGTCAATTCCACCACATCTCTTCATTAAAACTGGGTTGCTAAGTTCGACCCACACTCAAAGGGAGGGAATTAGGCTCCACTTTTTAAAAGCAATATCAAAGAACTGTGGACATATTTCTAAAACACCACAGTTAGTTATCAGATAAATTGTTCAAAATGTTTAATTATACACAAGACTAGGCATTTGAATGTGCATTTGTGTAGGTTTTCCTTTAACTTGCAAAATTAATTGTGGCGATTAAAAATGTGTAACACAAAGGGTGAAGTGGTGCACCTACAACAGGAGTGACAAACATTAACGTACAAGTGAAATTTCACAAGATTGTAACCTATCATTAACTCAATAAAAAAAAATGTGTAACAGATGGCATAAATTGAAGAAGGTGCGTCCTTTCAATGTCAATCCTCGGTTTCCCTCCATTCCTTTCAGGTCCAGGAAAAAAACAATTCCTGACATTTATATTTGCAACCTGGCTGTGGCTGATCTGGTCCACATCATTGGAATGCCTTTTCTTATTCACCAGTGGGCCCGAGGAGGAGAATGGGTGTTTGGGGGGCCTCTCTGCACAATCATCACATCACTGGACACCTGCAACCAGTTTGCCTGCAGTGCCATCATGACTGTAATGAGTGTGGACAGGTAAGTGAAGAGACGATGAAATATCCTAACATAATTCAGAGGTTACCCAAGGTCACCCCAATTTAAGCAACATCAGTATTGGTTTGTAATAGCAAATCTCTTCTTCCTTTGCTTGTTTCATTGTAGGACTGATTACTTAATATTTTTCCAACCTTCACAGAGGTCTATTTTATTTAATGGAAAACTTAAAACACTAAATTCTCCTTTTTTCTAATCATTCTTTTTGACTTCAGTTTTATTTGCATGAAAAAAAGATCATAAAATCTTGAGATATTGGGACGAGAATGAATGCCCCCTGTCATTCTTGCAATAAGGAAGCTGAAACCCTGAGAGGTGAGAGAATTTGCTGAAGGCACATAGAGAGCCAGTGGCAGAGCTGAGAAGTGAAGTAGGTCTCCTCACACCCTGTCCAGGGCTGCTTCTGGTATGTTCACTGTCTCACACACTCTTATTATTACCCAGCAGCTCGAGGAATCAGTGGAGTAGATATGGGCTCCTCTACAGGTAGGAAGAGATGTCCCAGTACTAGGAAGACCATCTTTTACACGCATCGTTGTGATTGGTTAGTGCAAATGCTGCCATTTTACATCATTAGAAATTTATTAGACTCTGTCCTGGAATGTGCCATAGCCATATTCACCAACCATGTAAGCCAATGTTATTCGAGGAGGTGAGGGTGAGGGTGAGGATGAGTACTTATGAACCAGTGAGTGGTGGACCCCAGTTCAGACCTAGGCTGTCCAACTCTAGAGATGGCAGGTAGCTGGCAACTACCTCACTGTCTGGCCTCTTTAAGAAGCATGCAAGCCGGTATGTGCCCTGCATCAGCCAGACGCCAGGACCTCAACACCAGTCATGGCAGCATTCCCCAAACAGAAACAAGCCCTAAAGACAGTAGTAATATGCACAACAGTAATATGCTGTCTCAGAGAACAACTCACTTCAAATCTCCACTCACCTCCTTCGTCCCACCCCAACACGGCACACTTGGTCTCCCTTGCTCTAATCTTTTTCTTTCTCCCTTGCTTCATATATATTACATAGTTTAATTAACTTTGTGTGTGGATGTGTGTGTTGTTTATTTTCTAGGTTCCTCTATCCTTCAAACGTAAATTACACAAAGCCAGGGTCTTTGATCACCAATACATCCCAAGTGTCTGTGTAACAGCGCCTGGCACAAGGGTGCTCAAAAAATATTGATGAATGAATGAATGAATGTTAGTCTCGAGGGCTGTGTTAAATTTCCCCAGGTCCACCCCGGACTTCTTCCTGAGCTCTGCCTCTTTTACTCTTCCTAGTGGCCTTTGGGGTGGGGAAGTGATGAGTGATTCTTCAGATGAATAAACAAAGGAATAGCAAGGTTCATATAAATCACTCACTGGACTATTACTATTCAGACATGAATAATGATGCATATGTTTAATGCATTTTTTATATCCTGCTGCTTTCCTGCAAAAGAATTCTCGAAACATAGAGTGTGCTTTTCAGTTTATAATTAACATCACATTTTTTAACCATTGCACTGTGCAGGTCTGGTTAGTTCCGCTGATGCCAGCCAACGCAGACTGTGTCTTGAGTAAAGGCTGGTCAGCTTGCCAGGGTTCCAACACTGGGGGAGGGCCCTGCACAGCGCAGGTCCACTGCAGAAAAGCAACCCAAAGTACAGGCTTTGCCAAAAATCACAATCCCATTCTCAGACATAATAAAAGCTTCTCCATATCCTGTACCCTGAAAGCAGGAGAGTATTGGCTTTTTTTTAAAGAGGGGAAATTTTACCTCTTCTGTAAACTTCTCACTGTAAATAAGGGGATGGACATTGTCTGCCTTGGAACAGACCAACTGTATATATTTTCTGACGATCACAGGTTTTTTCTGAGTGTATGTGTGAGTGCGTGTGTGTCTTGTACATCTGAATAGCATCTGTTTGTTTTAATCTGATGGACGCGGTAGGCTAAGCTTTTACTTAGGACACTCAGGACCTTTGCTTCTCCCTTTCCTCACTCTAGAGGATCACGTGGCCAGAAACAAATGAAGACTCTATAAAACTGAAACTTTTCCTCCCTGGCAATTCGTAAAAATTCAACCAAATCTGCCATTTTGTAAAACAGAAATGGAGTTTTCTGTGTAAGTCCATAACCAAATGTTAGTGCCATAAGTATGCCTTATTGTTTATACATTTAAGTCATTTTAATTGTCAATTTAATGGATCATAAATTTCAAGTGTTTCCCATAACTCTTTCATTTTCCTTTCTCGGATTAATAAATAACTGCAAGTGTGTAGAATATTGTGAGTTCTGACCTCCAAAGCAATACAAAAGTAATTTGTAAAATTCCAAAATATTAAAAATTTTTGCCTCCAGATGAAAGCTACCTAAGACTTTTATTAGTGGTTACTTTTGTAAATAAATTCTCTACAACATCAAAAGTCAGAAAGTAGGATCCAAAACTCCCTATTCATTCATTCATTCAATTCATTCATTCAACAAATATTTATTGAGCATGGACCATAGGCCAGGGACTGTGCCAGACACAGGAGATACAGTAGCATTAAACTCATAAGAAAGGCTCCTGCCCTCATGAGGCTTCCATTCCAGAGGCGTAGACAGACATTTAGTGAAGAGTCACATGGGTAAATGTGTATTTCCACACAGTGATACATACTAAGAAGGAAAAGTAGAGTCCTCCAATGACCCACATTTAGGCATGGGCCCTTGTATAGAGCAAGTGGTCAGGGGAGGCTTCACAGAGAGGGAGACAGTTAAATGGGGACTTGAAGGAAGAGCAGGAGGAAGCAGAGACAGATCCTGCCAGGCAGGTAGAATAGCATGTGCCTGGCTCTGAAAGGGGAAAGAACTTGAAGGAAGGCCAGAGAGACTGGCACATGCTTCGGCCCAAGTTGCAGGCAGGGCCAGGTGGAGAAAGACCTTGTGGGTCATGATAAAAGTTTAAGTTTTACCTGAAAGATGTTGGAAAGCCATTGAAGGGATTTTAGCTGGGGAGAATATGATTAGAGAAAATTCCCTAATGGATCAATGCTATTACTCATCATCCTTTATTCCCAGACAGATGATGCCTGGCCTGCTGTACAATCACTACCTCATCCCCTTCACCAGCAGGGCGGGCAGGGGGCCTTCTCTCCTTAGAGCAGGTAATGCAGGTGCATGTGCAGAAGGAGGGGTGCTGAGGCACCCTGGGCCACAATCTCTCCCTACAAGCTGAGGGATCCCTTAGCTGATGGCAAAACATCCTGCCTCTTGTGCAAAACTGAAAGAGGACAGGGAGTTTTTCATTTTGTAAATCTTCATTAAGTAGCTCTACAAAAGCTTGGAGAAAATGAAATGACCATCAAAACCATATTTTACATTTATTTAATTTCTACGAATACCACCTTCCACCACCCCCACCCCTGGCAAAAATGTTTTCTCAAATACCCTTCCCTCTAAATTTGAGCTCTCTTTTTCATGCTTTAGCTTTCAGTTGGCTCTGAAAAATTCTTCTTGGATTTGCCAGAGGACAAAATATATTTGGTATGTCAGGATTTCAAGTTTGATTAATGATTATCCTTTTTTCTTCCGGGATCTAAAATGGAAAAAAAGATGTGAAAAAAGAAAAACTCTTCCCCATGAAATTAGCCCATATCCCCCCTCCGGCCTCCAGCCTAAGTTCCCCAAGGACTTTGCATTGTCTGTAAGAATCATGTTTGTCTATCTTCACTGTGATTCTGAGAACTGAAACTCCAAGAGCCCGGGGACCCTCCAGCAAAGGCATCTGAGCGAAATGTCTGTCCCATGGGCCTCCACCTCATCCTTCTGGGGGATTCTCCTACCAGCCAGTGCACTTTCCTCCTTCCTGCCTCCACGTCAGTAAATCCTACTGGGACTTACCGAGGGCCTCTTCCTCCTGGAGGAAATCCCTGTTCAGAGACCAGGTTTTCCAGAGCCTCATCTACAAGGGAAGCGCCTTTGTAAAGAATGAGTCTGCCTAGCAGAATTGTGCCATTATCAGTGTGTTCGTGGAGTGACAGCTATTTCAGTGAGTGGTTTATTCAGACCTGCAAGGTCAAGAGTTGTTTTCTCTACAGGTACCAGCCAGCTCTTAAAAAATAGAACTTTCTTTTACCCTGATAGAGGTGTGCTTCAGGGAGGATAATAATACTAATAATTTACTCTTGTCATGAACCTTTCATCCTTGGAGCTCAGTGCTTTTATTGATTGTTCCCAAATCCTTCTTAACTGGCTTTGCAGGTACTTGGCTCTCGTCCAACCATTTCGACTGACAAGTTGGAGAACGAGGTGCAAGACCATCCGCATCAATTTGGGCCTTTGGGCAGCTTCCTTTATTCTGGCGTTGCCTGTCTGGGTCTACTCAAAGGTCATCAAATTTAAAGACGGCGTCGAGAGTTGTGCTTTTGATTTAACATCCCCTGACGATGTACTCTGGTAGGTTCTTAAAACATAAGAAAAATAGAGTTGAATTAAGTTGTGAAGTGCTTCATCCTCCTTGTCAACACATGAGCAGCCGTGCAGAGTGTCCTCGGGGATCCTCTTCGGGCCAGGCTCCCTGCTTAGCTTTCTGCTTTCCACAATCAAGTTGATAGTTTGATTTTAAGGAGAGGGTCACCTTTAGAGAAGGATTTTGAGTTTAATCATGTAACCCCAGTGGACACAAATATATTTAAATATGTATTTTAAAGATCCGTGGCAGCCAGACACAGGAGGGGCAGAATTTCCAAAAGGGTCTAGGAGTTCCCCAGACTCCAACCTTATCCATATGCAACTGGAGTTTGGTTGAATTGTGTCCCCTAGAAGATATGTTAACCTAACACTTGGTACCTGTGAATGTGACCTTATGGAGAAATAGGGTCTTTGCAGATATAATCAAATTAAGTTGAGGTCATACTAGATTAGGGTAGGCCCTAAATCCAATGATTGGCTCCTGATGAGGAGAAGGAGATTTGAAGAGACAAAGAGAGGAGAAGGCATGTGAAGACAGAGATTGGAGTGATGTGTCCACAAACCAAGGAACACCAAGGATTGCTAGAAATCACCAGTGGCTAGGAGAGAGGTGTGGAGCACATTCTCCCTCAAAACTCCCAAAAGGAACCAACTCTGCCAACACCTTGATTTCAGCTTCTGGCTTCCAGAACCGTGAGACAATACATTTCTGTTGTTTGAAGCCCCCCAGTTTGTGGTAATTGGTTACAGCAGCCCTAGAAACTAATACAGCAACCAACACAGGCACTCCTTACATTTTAACTTGAAAAATTAAGTCAAAAATTTTCTTAGATTTTTAACATAGCATTGGAGTCTATGACTAAAATTTTTTGATCACCTACTAAGGGCCAGGTACTGTGCTAGGTGATTTTTGCACACGTTACGGCAAGTCGATCTGGCACATTCCTTTTTCCTGTGTACCACTTGTCAATTAGATGAGTCATTTCTGCATTATATAGACACAACCCAAGAGGGATGGAGGCAGAGGCCCTGCAAGGCCACGAATCGAGTAACAAAACTCTCCAGAGGAGTGCAACATCGATAGGATTGATTGTTTATTTCTTACTCCTCCCACCAGCACTGGCTGCACTTACAGACAAAAGCCATCAGCCAATTTAAAGGTGAAATGGTACTTAATCACTGGAGGCTGGGAGACTGATAGGGCCCCAACCTGTCTAAAAGAACACAACCTGAGGCTCACTATAGGACTGTATGACTTTGGCCTGGGTCAAAGAAACAAAGATTAAGTATTTTGCACTGACAGCTGCTTCCGCTGGTTTTGGTTGCTTATCATAAGCGATATTCTGAGGTTTTGGCCTCTGCTGTTCTTCCTAGAATTAAGTCCTTACTGTAAACTGGGACTGGAACTACTGTGCTGCGTTCAGGGTCGCTCTCGTCCCAGATGCTCTCTCTCTGCTGCTCTGTCCATACCCACGAAGTCTGGGCTGACTTCTTTCACTGATGCCGGGGTTCTGCCAGGAAGGAGGACACCTGGCATCTGTGCAGAAATGGAGTTGGCTCACCTGAGAAATCCCCCCGGAGGAGCACTGAGGAAAAGACTGGCTGATTTTACAACAGGCCCTTTGACAGGCTGTCTGGAGTCTTGGTTACAAGTGTGGGCTGTGCAGCTCGACTGTCTGTCTGAGTTCAAATCTCATCTCTGCCACTTACTAGCTGGACAACCTTGGGGAAGCCACTTAACCCCTCTGTGCCTTAGTTTCTTCTTCTGTAACGTAAGGATGCTAATGGCATTGTACTCATGAGACTGCTGAGATTCAATGGGTTAAAATATGTGAAGCACTGAGAACGGTGCCTGCTAGATAATAAATGTTACCTGCTGTTGCCTGTTGTTGTTAATAACACTAAAGATAGTGATAATAATAAGTATCCTCACCTGTTGAGTACTCAGCAGTGTTGGGCTTGGCTAGAGAAGCGACAAGCATCCTCGTCAGTGAACCCACGAAGAGCAGGACTTCCCCAGTGACAGCACCCAAAGATCCTTAACTTTTTCCAAGTACTTTTATCCTGGGCTCTGAAAAATCAGAAAAGCATCACTCATTAACTGTAAAAGCCAGTTTCTAGCAATGTGAACGCAACAGTCATGTCTTCTCTCTCCGTTTACAGGTATACACTTTATTTGACGATAACAACTTTTTTTTTCCCTTTGCCCTTGATTTTGGTGTGCTACATTTTAATTTTATGCTATACTTGGGAGATGTATCAGCAGAATAAGGATGCCAGATGGTAAGTGTTTTCTTTTGCTTTGTTTGTTAAAAGAACAATTCAGAGATCCTAAGACGTCTACAATAGAAAATGAAGCAACAATAACTTGAAACATCCCACACTTAGATATATGGGCAGTAATGTCTGTATAAGGCGGTTTCTGAAAATAAGACATGTTCTGAAGCAGCTATTTGAGGATCTTCAGTGATAAATGTTGAAGTCAGTGATGTAATTGTTTCATCATCATTAAATCATCATTAAAAATATAAACAGAACTCAAGATTCTATTTGCAGAAGAATTTTATATTTGTCATCAACAATAACAATCTTATTTAAATATTTTATTTATACATTTTGCACAGCTATGCACATTTGTAAATATCCCAGGTGTTGTGTATGACCTTTTAATTTTTGTGTTTTAATTTTTTTTAATTTAGAGGAGCAGGATCTCATTAATATTTGAATACTTTAGGACAAGTTAATTAGAACTAATTAAAACAAAGACTTACCTAAAGACAGTAAACTTAGGAAAGACCCTTAAACTTGTCTCTAAAACTGAATAAATAAATCTAAATTATTTTTTACTTGAAGTTGTATTACGAAGTTGTTCAAATGAGTAAGTCAGTGATAATATAACATGTTGGGTTAAAAAATGTTTATTAAAATTTGTCTTTACAATAGATTATTGTATTTCTTTTGGAAAGACATAATTGCTTGGTTTCACCACACACCATACATAACACTGTGAAGATTTTTAAAAAAAGAATGTGTGAACAATTTAACCATCATTAGTCAAAGTTTGTGGCTACCCTGGTACCAAAGGTTTAGGTGGTCTCTCGGCCCATGACATTTTTTCTCACTTAGCTTCTTGAAATTCTTTGGAAATATTACATTCTTAAAGGGTGGTCTATTTTGAATGGGAAAGGGAAGCAGCCACAGTTCTAGAAAAAAATACGCTTCTAAATGTATCACAGGGAGCTGAGTTGGTGAGAAAGTTGAAATGGAATTATATGGAATATCAAGACACCGACAGCTGGAGAGGGTGGGTGCTTGAGCCCTTTTAAAACAGTTCTCCAAATCAGATCACTTTGCTCCCAACACTTCCCTCAGAAATACTAAGAGCATATGAAACAAAACTCGTACTGTCCAGCTGTCCCTCAAAATACAAGAAGTTAGAGGAATTATGGTGCCTACTCTGATAAACTGTGGAGGAATCATTATCTTAGAATGATTTTCAGCTGCTGTACTTTTTTTCCTATCATTCCCCAGGCTCGCTCATCTGCTTCAACCATGTCCCAGGGAAATTTCTATTAAATGTCTAGATATGACATAACATGCTAAAATTGGGGGATTTTAAAATATTTTTTATTTTATAATAATTTTAAATTTGCGGAAAAGCTGCATAAATAGTACAGAGAGCCTCCATATACTCCTTACCCAGTTTTCCCATTATCTTACCTTACTATGATGTATTTACCAAAACAAAGAAAAGGGCATTGGTACATTATTATGAAGTAAACTCTACCCTTTTATTAGATTTCAGTTGTTCCATTAAAATACTCCGTCTGTCCCAGAATTCAATCCAGAGCACCACATTGCATTTAGTTGTCATGTCTCCCCAGTCTCCTCTGGTCTGTGACAGTTTCTCAGTCTTTCCTTGTTTTTCATGTCCTTGATAGTCTTGAGGAGTCCTGGTCAGGTATCCTGTAGAATGTCGCCCCGATCTGGGTTTGTCTGATCTGGGTTTGGTATCAGAATTAGACTGCGGTTATGTGTTTTTGGAAAAAATCAGCTCTTCTCATCACAACATATCAGGAGGCACATGATAGCTACATGACATCTCTGCTGATGTTAACCATGATCACTTGGTTACGGTAGTCTTTGGCAGGTTTCTCCACTGTAAAGTTACTGTTTATCCCTTTCTCTACACTATTCTTTGGAAGCAAGTCCCTAAGCATAGCCCACCTTCAAGGGGGCAAGGGGCGGGTGGGAATTAAGATTCGTCTCCTAGAAAAGGGAGTATCTACATATTTTATTTGGAATTCTTCTGTAAAGAAGGTATGTCTCTTCTCTCCCCTTTATGCATCATTTATCTATAAGAGCATAGACTCATGTATATTTCTTTGATATTTTGGATTTTAATTCAATACTATATCACTTATTTTGTTTCTCAGAGTGTTCCAGCTTTGGGAAGTTTTTAACAGGAATGAAAAAGAATCTTTTCACAATGCCCTGAATAAGTAGGAATAAAAATGAGCTTTATAGTCCAAAGCATAGTCATTATGAAAAGGTTATAGGAGATAATGGCCCCATAATTTCTATGGTTGTTTACTTTCTGTCGCCCTCTTGTTTCCTTTGTAGTTACAATCCCAGTGTTCCAAGGCAGAGAGTGATGAAGCTGACAAAGATGGTGCTGGTGCTGGTAGCAGTCTTTATCTTGAGTGCTGCCCCCTATCACGTGATCCAGCTGGTGAACTTGCAGATGGAGCAGCCCACACTGGCTTTCTATGTGGGCTATTACCTCTCCATCTGTCTCAGCTATGCCAGCAGCAGCATTAACCCTTTTCTCTACATCCTTCTGAGTGGAAATTTCCGGAAACGCCTGCCTCAAGTGCAGAAAAGAGTGACTGAGAAGGAAATCAACAACATGGAGAACACCTTGAAATCAAGCTTCTAGGAGAGTACATGGATCATCAAAAGTCTAGACAGGCTTGCCTATGTTATTGGCATTACTAGAAAGGACAGGTGAAGTGATGTACTTGTGCCCATTCTTTGTACTTGTGATCCATAGTAGCATGGAACAGAAGTATAACCATTGACATGCAACGAGTTTAATATGTTAACTTTAGTAAAATGCAAAATACTTATCTATACTGAGATGGAGTGGGATAGTCTAAGACACTCAAACTCCGTGCTTGTGGATGTCATTTCAGCATGTTATAGACTAGTCACTGATAAAAATGGCCATCCATGATCATCAACTGAAAAGTCACCAAGGAATCTGATTTTGCAGTCTCCACTGAGGCCTCATGCCCTTGAGGTTCCCAAGAGGGGACCACTTCACAACGAGATCTGAAATTTGGCCGTTTTTTATCTTCAAAAATGTCAATTTCACAGGGTCCAATCTAATGCCTTCAATAATCAGCTCCCTCCATTAGCATAATAGTTACCATGTATTGAACACGTGCAACATGGAAGATTACATGTAACAAGCTGCGAGGTAACTATTACCTCGGTTTACTAAGGCTCAGAAAGGTTAAGCGCTGGCCTAATACTGCACAGCTACATAAGAGCTGGGTTGAAATCCAGGTCTGTCTGTTTCTGTTATTTTACTGCAATGCCTTGGCAACCTGTACCTATCATACTGGAGAGAGCCAATAATTTGGAGATTTTTTTTTTTTGGTTTCTCCTACAGCCCCACAAGGAAAGAACTAAAGTCTGGAAGAATTGAGTTGATGGTTTAAGCATATTCTTTTATATTTAGCTTTGTTCTCATGCCTATGAATTGTGGAAACCAGCATCCACATTTTAACGATAGTATTCTACAGGATGTTAAACACACACTTAGACACATTCTGTTTAGGTTACAGTATATGTTTGTTCAAAGGTACAAAAAGGAATTTGCCCTAAAATTCATAGTTGTTCATTATATCTATCTTCTCCTCTTTTGACTTGTATAAATCACGCACTTCAATATAGTAAAGAGAGAAAAAAATTTTAAAGCCTGTATTCTCAAAAAAGGTAAATATTCTTATTTTGTTTGTGAGTAAAATCTGTAAACCCACCTCCTTTATCGAAATACATAACACTACTTACTCCATGGACGTCTGAAACTGATTTTTAATCATCCCTTTATATAAAAGAGTCATGGAGACCACTTTTTTAACAACTTGATCTCCGTTTTTATATCTCAATTGTCAAGACACGTGACTTTTCACCTGATGTATTTGGTTCTAGATCTTTAAAGAGACCATTTTGGAAGAAGCTGATATCTAATGCAGATCTGGATGAGAGGTCATGTAAACAATGTGAGAACTACAAACTGAGACAGGTCACATCTGAGATATTTTAGTTCTGTAACTGAGCTCTGGACAGCTACACACAGAGACTGGATGCTTCTTTATCATTTTGATCAAAAGCTGGGTCGTGGCTACAGTTTCCCAGGTCTTCATTCTCATTTCTCCAAGGTGCAACAGTCAGGGTTCAATGAGGAACCCTGACGTCTGAGGACCCGACACAATGGGTCATAAACAGATGTTATCATTTGATAATTTAAGAGCAATGGAAGAATTTACCTCCATTGTCTTTTTTAATAGAGAAAATATTATGATTTTAAAGATTTAAATGGTTTTAAGCCAACAGACTTTTTCTAATAGCATTTCCAATAGGCCTCAAATATTTCCAATATATAAATTGGTCAGTGAATTATTTTAATTTATATTTATTAAGAGTTGTAAAGACCTTTAGCATCTAATCAAAATACAAAATAAAAAGGGTGACTATTAAATTCATTTTTTGTGCCTTTGTATAGCTTTTCTATGCATAAGCATATATATATGCAGATTCGCAGAGGTGGTTTGACGGAGATTCTCCTTGTGTTTTGTCTTTTTGCCCATGATCTGATACACGTTTACTTGCAAGAGAAGTTAATGATCAGTTTCACATATCTAATTGATACTTGAGTATTAGTGATTATGTAAAATCATAAATTCATCATAATCCTGTCTCTCTCCTCTATGCTTATTCAATTTTAGGTGCCTCATTTAAATTTTGATTGATTGATATAAATCAATGAATAAAAATTGGTTGTATATTCATTTACTTCTGGCCTGTAGCTTCTATTCTTTTTGTGTGTGTGTGAGGAAGATTGGCCCTGAGCTAACATCCACTGCAAATCTTCCTCTTTTTGCTTAGGGAAGATTGTCCCTGAGCTAATATCTGTGCCAATCTTCCTCTAGTTTGTATGTGGGATGCCACCACAGCAAGCCTTGATGAGCGGTGTGTAGGTCTGCACCCGGGATCCAAACTGGTGAACCCTGGGCCACCAAAGTGGAGCACATGAACTTAACCACTAAGCCACTGGGCTGACCCTGGTAGCTTCTATTCTTAAGGTTTTATTATGTAAAATATTTCATATTTCCTTAATATAGTTTCTCCTGAAGAATAAAGACTTAAGAATTAGTAAAATGTGTCCTAAATATGGCTAATAGTCTGAAGATACTCCTCACATCAGATTCCTAGGCACTTGTATTACACCTGAAATCCCAGAAATTACTGCTTTCTGTGGATTATGATATCACAGGGATCATGGAATCTTGGACCTGAAAGATACTTTAGAAATTATCAAATGCTACAGATGAGAAAAATGAACCTCAGATCAAATTATTTTTAACACAGTCCAGTGTGTGTCCAGAGATCCACGCCTAATGGGCAGCTGGAAAACAGGCCTGAGTTCTTTCCATTGAACTTCTCTCAGTTGTGGGGCAGTGGAAAACAACTAGTAAGAAAATTAAATTTGACACTTAATGGCTATAGCACATTCTTGAGAGTTTAGTGAGTAAATTAAGATTGTATAATTATGTTTTTAAAGTTATAGAATTAAAAAAACTGATTCTTCATAATTTGCTTGGACTCGTCAGCATGGCAGAGATTAATTTTCCATTCACTTCACAGAGTTCTGTGGAATGAGCCCAAAGCAAAATATAGAAATTAGTAATATTTTGTTTTACTATCCCTATTTTTTTGTTGATATCTCTCTATACCAAGATGTTATTTCACTGTACGGGTAGCCTCCTCCCTCACCTAAGGTTAGAAACAGCTTTGACTACAGCCATGACTCCTTCGTGCCTTCACCCCACAGGGATAGCATCAAATTGTTTCATTTGTTCTTTTAGCCATTGGCTCAGATACGGCTATAGTCCATTCAAAAGACTGTGCTAAACTGGTATCTTGATTTCTGGTGTTTGTAAATTTATCATTTAACACGTGGCTCCACTGAATTTTTTTTTTTCAAATGCCCAAGGCATTACCCAATCTCAAGAACTGAAAATCCAATGTCTCCTGTGTTTCCTGCACATCAACTCTATCTACGAGTGAACCAGAGAACAATCTCCAGTGATTTCTCAATTCTAAAACACAACTCATCGTAAAACGCACCATTGATTCAATAATTGCCTTTGGGAAAGAAAAATATAACATTAAACATTCGCATTAATAGTAAAATGTACCCTAATTTCAGAAACACTAACGTGGGAAAATGCACATCATGAAACTGAGGGGAAAAAAAACAATATTGACAATTCCTCGATGCATTTTCTTCTAAGATCAAATATACTCATCTCTGTCACTCAGTGAAAGAATTCTCCACCCAGTGATTCCCTCACTACCAGCAAATGCCCAAATCCAAACACATCCGTGAATCACATAAAAGGATCAAAATTGATTAAACATCTCACAAAATGTTTTACTTTTTTTCAGGCACAGGATTGATAAAAATGTGAATAATTTTCAAATAAATTGTATTTCTGTAGCAACAAAGCTACAAGTACTTGCTGCCTTAACAACTGGAAAACTTAACATTGCATCCAGAAAGTAAAGCTTTGAGGTTCTTGAGCATTAAAAGCTATCTTGGGCTTCATCACACCATTATTGGGAACATAATTCTGGGGTACTGATTCAAAGGTATTCTCTTCTATCAGAAATTTATTTAAAAGTATAAAGTCACCCCCTAATCAAAAGCAAAAAACATTTCTAAAATATTACATCATTTTACTGAGAATACAGCTGTTTCTGTAGCACATTTAGCAAAATGTGTTGCTCTTCTTAACTTACAGAACTGAATACATTTGATATTTCTCTAAAAACATTCAAGGTGAATATCCTTCTTTTGCTAATAGATTTAAGTAATAATAGGCACTTCTTAATAATAGCTATCTAAAACATTATCTATAGATTTGTTCCCAAACAATTGACAAAATTATTTCCAGGAATAAGAAATAAGGAATGAGGTTCCTGTCCGTTTTCAACATTGCGTAGAAAGCTTTGGAATTCCTGGTGTGTCATTAGACTTGGTTTAAGTTCCAGCCTCATCAATTACTAAGTGTAAAAGACCTAGGTAAACTATTAACCAAACTGCTTAATCATATGGGTGAGGAAAGTGGAGCCCAAAGAGGGTAAACAAAGTGAACCAGCTTTTTATTGTCAAAACCAGGGCAAAATTTGAAGCTCCTGACTCGGGCCTTCCCTGTTTCCCCCATATCATTCTCTGTCAAATAGGCTGCACTCAGAGTAGGAGGCTGTGGATTTCATGCCAAGAAGCTTGGTTTATAAACGCAGTGAGATACTTATAAATGCAATGAGATGCCTTGAAGTTTTTTTTGAGGAGAGCCATGTCACGATCAGATCTTTGCTACTGGAAATAACTGGCAGTGGAGTATATAACGGGATAAATGGGAAGAGCCTAGGACTGGAGAATCAGGCAGGAATTTATCACAATGGTCCAGATGAGAGGAAAGAATGCTTCCAACTAGGCAATGACAATAAAGCTATATATGTTTAGCTACCATTTGTTGAGTGCATACAGTGTGCCTGACATTGAGCATAATCTCATATAATCCTTACACCAACCTCCAGAACTACATACTACTATTGTCACCATTTTATAGCCGAGGAGTTGAGAACTTGGAGTTAAGTAACCTGCCTAAGCTTACAGAGCTAGCAAGGGGGCGACCCAGGATTCAAACCCCTGTCTGATGATCTTAGGCACGATGCCAATGCTTCTCAAACTTTACAGTGCATGCATATCATTTGGGGATATTGTTAAAATACAGATTCTCTTTGGTTTATGTTTTGAAAGAGAAGGATTTTTTTCAGCTATGTTGAAGTATAATTTATAAATAGGATTGAATATAGTTAAGGTGTAACAACTTGATGTTTTGATATATGTAGACATTGTGAAATGATCATCACAGGCAAGTTAATTAACTCATCCATCACCTTACATAGTTACCACTAATTTATTTATTGTGGTGAGAATGTTACTGCACAAATATGGGGTTCTCCTACCTGATGCACATTTAAAAAAAAAAAAAAGCCAATTATTATGGCATCAACTTTTGAGAAGAGAAAACAGCTTTATTTGGAGATCAATCTACAAAAAGCCAGGAAGTATATGTTCTCAAATCTATCTCCTCAATCCAGGGCTTGGGGCAAAATTTATGGGATGAAGGGCAGGGTGGTCTGATGTTTGGAGACAGATGATTGGAGGTAAGGAGAAGGGAGGTAACTGATCATCTTCGTAAGCATAGTCAAGCTTCATGGCTTTTCATTGGACTCATGTTCACAAAGTGTCAGTGTTACCATGATCTGAGGGTGGAGTTTTTAGCTCCTTGACATCAGTCACCTACCGGTGATTCACACAGGCCCAGTTGATGAGTCAGTGGTCTTAACCAGCCTGAAGTGGACAAGGAGTTGTCTCTCAGTTCCCAAAAAACCACTGTTAATTACTCTGTTGATAAGATGGAGTTAGTTAAATTAGTCCTGGAGGGCCTGTGGTTACCAGCACTCTTAAGATTTACCCTCTTAGCCAACTTCAAATATACAATGTTGTTAACTATAATCACAATGCTGTACATTAGGTCTCCAGAACCTACTCACCTTACAACCTGAAACTTTGTATTCTTTGACCAACATCTTCCCATTTTCCCCTTCTCCTATCCCCTGCCAACCACCATTCTACTCATTGTTTCTACGAGTTTGACTACTTTAGAGTCCATAAAAGTGAGATCATGCAGTATTTTTCCTTCTGTGTCTGGCTTATTTCACTTGGCATAATGTGCTTCAGGTTCATCCAAGTTGTCACAAATGGCAGGATTTCCCTGTTTTTAAAGGCCGAATAATATTCCACTGTGGGGTGTGTATTGATACATATACATATATGTGTATATGTCACATTGTCTTTATCCATTCAACCATTGATGGACATTTAGGTTGTTTCCATATCTTGGCTATTGTGAATAATGCTGCAATGAACATGGAAGTGCAGATATCTCTTCGACATAGTGATTTCATTTCTTTTGGATATATACTCAGAGGTGGGATTGCTGGATCAAACGTCAGTTCTATTTTTACTCTTTTGAGGAACTATACTCTTTTCCATAACAGCTGTGCCAATTTACCTTCCCACCAACAGTGTACAAGGGTTCCCTTTTCTCCGCTCCTCACCAACACTTACCTTTTGTCTTTTTCATAATAGCTATTCTAACAAGTGTGAGGTGATATCTCATTGTGATTTTGATTTTCTTTTCCTTGATGACTGGTGATGTTGAGCAGCTTTTCCTCTACCTGTTGGCCACTTGTATATCTTTTTTGGTGAAGTGTCTATTTAGATCCTTTGGCCATTTTTTAATTGGGTTATTTGTTTTCTTCCTATTGAGTTGTTTGAGTTCCTTATATATTTTGGATGTTAACCCCTTCTCGGATACATGATTTGAAAATATTTTCTCCCAATCTATAGGCTGTTTCTTCAACCTGTTGATTGTTTTATTTGCTGTGCAGAAGCATTCGAGTTTGATGCAATTTGACTTGTCTATTTTTGCTTTGGTTGCATGTGTTTTTGGTGTCATATCTGTGGGGGAACAGAATTTGCTATTCCAAAATGTGTCTCTTAGGCTTAATTATTTTTAAGAAAAAAAGACTCAGGAAGAAACGCTGATCTGCCTCCCAATTGCCTAAACAATTTAAGGTAGAAGGCCTGTTTCAGGAAGGAGCTAATACCATAGATAACTATGGTATAATATGAACTAGTTGTGGTTCACAGGGAG